TTAAAAAGTCAATCCACCCAGAATCAACATGAAATGGCTTTGCAGAGTATAAAAGCAAACAATAGATTAAGAGCGCAGTGACAGCCCCTCCTTCACCTGCAGCCATTTTGTTGCTTCTAGTTCACTGTCCATTGTCTGGCATCTGGGTCCATTTTGACTATTTCTTGTTGTCTTTATAATGCTAGTCACAGATTGTCCCCTGTTTTATGCATGTTTTAAGATAGATAGATACTTTATTGAGCCCGGTTGGAGAAATTCAGGGGTCTAGTAGCAGCAAAAATAAAGAATAAAATTGAACATTTTAAAAAGCTAAAAATAGTAATAATCAGCAACAGCCCTTCAGGTCACAGCAGCAGAGGTGGAGTAGCCTCTGGGTGGAGCAGGACAGGTCACAGCAGCAGAGGTGGAGTAGCCTCTGGGTGGAGCAGGACGGGTCAGAGCAGCAGAGGTAGAGCAGCCTCTGGGTGGAGCAGGACGGGTCACAGCAGCAGAGGTGGAGCAGCCTCTGGGTGGAGCAGGACGGGTCACAGCAGCAGAGGTGGAGCAGCCTCTGGGTGGAGCAGGACAGGTCACAGCAGCAGAGGTGGAGCAGCCTCTGGGTGGAGCAGGACGGGTCACAGCAGCAGAGGTGGAGCAGCCTCTGGGTGGAGCAGGACGGGTCACAGCAGCAGAGGTGGAGCAGCCTCTGGGTGGAGCAGGACGGGTCACAGCAGCAGAGGTGGAGCAGCCTCTGGGTGGAGCAGGACGGGTCACAGCAGCAGAGGTGGAGCAGCCTCTGGGTGGAGCAGGACAGGTCACAGCAGCAGAGGGTGGAGTGGCCTCTGGGTGGAGCAGGACGGGTCACAGCAGCAGAGGTGGAGCAGCCTCTGGGTTCGGATAATTTTCTCTGCTCTAGTCCAAAGTAAAATTATGAGACCCGAAAACCAGTTCCAGTCTGCAGCCTGTAATCCTGTCAACTAGACCCTTCAAGACAAATGCTATTGTGATTTTTGATTCACTAAACAAATAAAGTTATTGTTTTGAAGGTTACCGCTAAAACATGGTCTGCTTTGTCCTTGTTGTGAGTCGCAATGCCCTTGTTATTTCTCTGCTTTCTGTTTTTTTAAGCAACTGATTTGTCTTCAATCAAGGACCAATCCATCACACTTTATTCATTTAGTGTTTCACAGGATGTGAACGTTCCAGTCTCTCAGTCTCTCTCTGGTCTCACTCTGGTCATATATGAGCCATATAAGGATGGACCAATCAATGCCTTTATTTACAGTTACAGTTTAGCTTAGCAAATATGTTACCAACATGTCCTGGTCCTGGTCCTGGTCCTGGTCCTGGTCCTGGTCCTGGTCGCTGTGGGCAGGTGCAGGTCCAGCTGAGGCAGGAGCCAAAGTGCTCAAAGTGAATGTATGTTAGGGTTAAAAAGTGCAATTTACTGAACACGTTTCAGCAAGTATTCTTCCATTCCAACAGTCTGTGATGAGAGAAACCTCCTTCCAACAGTCTGTGATGAGAGAAACCTCCTTCCAACAGTCTGTGATGAGAGAAACCTCCTTCCAACAGTCTGTGATGAGAGAAACCTCCTTCCAACAGTCTGTGATGAGAGAAACCTCCTTCCAACAGTCTGTGATGAGAGAAACCTCCTTCCAACAGTCTGTGATGAGAGAAACCTCCTTCCAACAGTCTGTGATGAGAGAAACCTTCTTCCACTAGTCTGATGTGAGAAACCTCCTTATGGGCTTCCATATTTGTGCAGTAACAGGCTCTGGGTGTAGCTTAGCTTTAGCGCAACATTTGGCACGTTTACAAAGCACAACATACTCTGGTCCCAAACCGGTCTGAGCCCTGGTCTCTCTCTGGTCTCTCTCTCTGGTCTCTCTCTCTGGTCTCTCTCTGGTCTCTCTCTCTGGTCTCTCTCTCTGGTCTCTCTCTGGTCTCTCTCTCTGGTCTCTCTCTCTGGTCTCTCTCTCTCTCTGGTCTCTCTCTGGTCTCTCTCTCTGGTCTCTCTCTGGTCTCTCTCTGGTCTCTCTCTGGTCTCTCTCTCTCTGGTCTCTCTCTGGTCTCTCTCTGGTCTCTCTCTCTGGTCTCTCTCTCTGGTCTCTCTCTGGTCTCTCTCTCTGGTCTCTCTCTGGTCTCTCTCTCTGGTCTCTCTCTGGTCTCTCTCTGGTCTCTCTCTCTGGTCTCTCTCTGGTCTCTCTCTGTCTCTCTCTTGTCTCTCTCTGGTCTCTCTCTGGCTCTCTCTCTGGTCTCTCTCTGGTCTCTCTCTCTGGTCTCTCTCTGGTCTCTCTCTCTGGTCTCTCTCTGGTCTCTCTCCTGGTCTCTCTCTCTGGTCTCTCTCTCTGGTCTCTCTGGTCTCTCTCTCTGGTCTCTCTCTCTGGTCTCTCTCTCTCTCTCTGGTCTCTCTCTGGTCTCTCTCTCTGGTCTCTCTCTGGTCTCTCTCTGGTCTCTCTCTCGTCTCTCTCTGGTCTCTCTCTCTCTCTGGTCTCTCTCTGGTCTCTCTCTCTGGTCTCTCTCTGGTCTCTCTCTGGTCTCTCTCTGGTCTCTCTCTGGTCTTTTCTAGTCTCTCTCTGGTCTTTCTCTGGTCTCTCTCTGGTCTCTCTCTGGTCTCTCTCTGGTCTCTCTCTCTGGTCTCTCTCTGGTCTCTCTCTCTGGTCTCTCTCTGGTCTCTCTCTGGTCTCTCTCTCTGGTCTCCCTCTGGTCTCTCTCTCTGGTCTCTCTCTGTCTCTCTCTGGTCTCTCTCTGGTCTCTCTCTGGTCTCTCTCTGGTCTCTCTCTCTGGTCTCTCTCTGGTCTCTCTCTGGTCTCTCTCTCTGCTCTCTGGTCTCTCTCTGGTCTCTCTCTGGTCTCTCTCTCTGGTCTCTCTCTCTGGTCTCTCTCTGGTTTCTCTCTGGTCTTTCTCTGGTCTCTCTCTGGTCTCTCTCTCTGGTCTCTCTCTGGTCTCTCTCTCTGGTCTCTCTCTCTGGTCTTTCTCTGGTCTCTCTCTGGTCTCTCTCTGGTCTCTCTCTGGTCTCTCTCTGGTCTTTGTCTAGTCTCTCTCTGGTCTTTCTCTGGTCTCTCTCTGGTCTCTCTCTCTGGTCTCTCTCTGGTCTCTCTCTGGTCTCTCTCTTTGGTCTCTCTCTGGTCTTTCTCTGGTCTCTCTCTGGTCTCTCTCTGGTCTCTCTCTGGTCTCTCTCTGGCCTCTCTCTAGTCTCTCTCTGGTCTCTCTCTGGTCTCTCTCTCTGGTCTCTCTCTGGTCTCTCTCTGGTCTCCTCTGGTCTCTCTCTGGTCTCTCTCTCTGGTCTCTCTCTGGTCTCTCTCTGGTCTCTCTCTGGTCTCTCTCTGGTTCAGTAAAACTTTCACCTTTAGAACGTCAAATATTTAATATTTAATGTTTAATACACTATAGTTTAGTCCTCTCTAATTAACAGCTAATTAAGTGTTAATTAGTGCATTATTTATGGTTCTTTATCAGAATCAGAATCATTTTTTTTTTTTTTATTGCCACGTAAGTAACAGGAAGTCACAGACTAGGAAATTATTTTGGCTCAGTGCAACAGTCAGAAAGAGATAATAAAAATAAGAATAAAAAACACTTCTAAAGAATAAATTTGAATTTAAAATAGAGTTACAGTTACTATTTACAATATACAAGTGCACATGGTGCACACAATGTAAGGTGACAGCAGTACAGTGAAGTAAAGTGACGTATGATGGGCAGTAAAGTGACTTTATAAAGGGCGGGGGGACAGGTTAAGAAGTGTTCAAGAGTCCAACAGCAGAGGGGAAGAAACTGTTCTTGTGGCGGGAGGTTCTAGTCCTGATGGACCGCAGCCTCCTGCCTGAGGGGAGTGGTTGGAATAGTCCATGTGCAGGTGAGAGGGGAGTGGTTGGAATAGTCCATGTGCAGGTGAGAGGGGAGTGGTTGGAATAGTCCATGTGCAGGTGAGAGGGGAGTGGTTGGAATAGTCCATGTGCAGGTGAGAGGGGAGTGGTTGGAATAGTCCATGTGCAGATGAGAGAGGGGAGTGGTTGGAATAGTCCATGTGCAGGTGAGAGGGGAGTGGTTGGAATAGTCCATGTGCAGGGTGAGAGGGGAGTGGTTGGAATAGTCCATGTGCAGGTGAGAGGGGAGTGGTTGGAATAGTCCATGTGCAGGTGAGAGGGGAGTGGTTGGAATAGTCCATGTGCAGGTGAGAAGGGAGTGGTTGGAATAGTCCATGTGCAGGTGAGAGGGGAGTGGTTGGAATAGTCCATGTGCAGGTGAGAGGGGAGTGGTTGGAATAGTCCATGTGCAGGGTGAGAGGGGAGTGGTTGGAATAGTCCATGTGCAGGTGAGAGGGGAGTGGTTGGAATAGTCCATGTGCAGGTGAGAGGGGAGTGGTTGGAATAGTCCATGTGCAGGTGAGAGGGGAGTGGTTGGAATAGTCCATGTGCAGGTGAGAGGGGAGTGGTTGGAATAGTCCATGTGCAGGTGAGAGGGGAGTGGTTGGAATAGTCCATGTGCAGGTGAGAGGGGAGTGGTTGGAATAGTCCATGTGCAGGTGAGAGGGGAGTGGTTGGAATAGTCCATGTGCAGGTGAGAGGGGAGTGGTTGGAATAGTCCATGTGCAGGTGAGGGGTGGTTGAATAGAGTGAGGTGAGGGGAGTGGTTGGAATAGTCCATGTGCAGGTGAGAGGGGAGTGGTTGGAATAGTCCATGTGCAGGTGAGAGGGGAGTGGTTGGAATAGTCCATGTGCAGGTGAGAGGGGAGTGGTTGGAATAGTCCATGTGCAGGTGAGAGGGGAGTGGTTGGAATAGTCCATGTGCAGGTGAGAGGGGTCGGCTGTGATACGACCAGCCCGGCCTCGAGCTCGGGCGACGTACAGGTCCTGCTGCGATGGAAGGCTGCGGCCGATCACTTCCTCTGCAGAGCGCACAATGCACTGTAGTCTCTGTTTGTCCCTGACTGTGGCTCCAGCGAACCACACGGTGATGGAGGAGGTGATGGAGGAGGTGATGGAGGAGGTGACGGAGGAGGTGATGAGGAGGTGATGGAGGAGGTGATGGAGGAGGTGATGGAGGAGGTGACGGAGGAGGTGACGGAGGAGGTGACGGAGGAGGTGACGGAGGAGGTGATGGAGGAGGTGACGGAGGAGGTGACGGAGGAGGTGACGGAGGAGGTGATGGTGGAGGTGATGGAGGAGGTGATGGAGGAGGTGATGGAGGAGGTGCTGGAGGAGGTGATGGAGGAGGTGATGGAGGAGGTGATGAGGAGGTGGTGGAGGAGGTGATGGAGGAGGTGCTGGAGGAGGTGATGGAGGAGGTGAGGATGGACTCGATGATGGCCGTGTAGAACTGCAGCTTGGCTTTCCTGAGCTGCCGCAGGAAGTACATCCTCTGCTGGGCCTTCTTGATGAGGGAGCTGATGGTCGGCTCCCACTTGAGGTCCTGGGTGATGGTGGTGCCCAGGAAACGGAAGGACTCCACAGAGGTGATGGGGGAGTCCATCACGGAGGGTGGGGGCGGGGGGACAGTGCTCTTCCTGAAGTCCACAATCATCTCCACTGTCTTCTGGGCGTTCAGCTCCAGGTTGTTACCACTGCACCAGGACACCAGCCGGTCCACCTCCCTCCTGTAGGAGACACCAGGACACCAGCCGGTCCACCTCCCTCCTGTAGGAGACACCAGGACACCAGCCGGTCCACCTCCCTCCTGTAGGAGACACCAGGACACCAGCCGGTCCACCTCCCTCCTGTAGGAGACACCAGGACACCAGCCGGTCCACCTCCCTCCTGTAGGAGACACCAGGACACCAGCCGGTCCACCTCCCTCCTGTAGGAGACACCAGGACACCAGCCGGTCCACCTCCCTCCTGTAGGAGACACCAGGACACCAGCCGGTCCACCTCCCTCCTGTAGGAGACACCAGGACACCAGCCGGTCCACCTCCCTCCTGTAGGAGACACCAGGACACCAGCCGGTCCACCTCCCTCCTGTAGGAGACACCAGGACACCAGCCGGTCCACCTCCCTCCTGTAGGAGACACCAGGACACCAGCCGGTCCACCTCCCTCCTGTAGGAGACACCAGGACACCAGCCGGTCCACCTCCCTCCTGTAGGAGACACCAGGACACCAGCCGGTCCACCTCCCTCCTGTAGGAGACACCAGGACACCAGCCGGTCCACCTCCCTCCTGTAGGAGACACCAGGACACCAGCCGGTCCACCTCCCTCCTGTAGGAGACACCAGGACACCAGCCGGTCCACCTCCCTCCTGTAGGAGACACCAGGACACCAGCCGGTCCACCTCCTCCTGTAGGAGACACCAGGACACCAGCCGGTCCACCTCCCTCCTGTAGGAGACACCAGGACACCAGCCGGTCCACCTCCCTCCTGTAGGCGGACTCATCGTTGTTGGAGATGAGTCCAATGAGGGTGGTGTCGTCCGCGAACTTGATCAGCTTCACGGAGTCGTGGCTGGAGGTGCAGTGGTTGGTGTACAGGGAGAAGAGCAGGGGAGAAAGAACACAGCCCTGTGGGGCTCCTGTATTTATAATCCCAGAGTCCGAGACATTCTTCCCCAGACGCACTCGCTGCTTCCTGTCCGACAGGAAGTCAGTGATCCACCTGCAGGTGGAATCGGGCACGTTGAGCTGGGAGAGCTTGTCCTGGAGCAGGGATGGCAGGATTGTGTTGAAGGCAGAGCTGAAGTCCACGAACAGGACCCTGGCGTAGGTCCCCGGGGAGTCCAGGTGCTGTAGGATGTGGTGGAGGGCCAGGTTAATGGCGTCGTCTACAGATCTGTTGGCTCTGTAGGCGAACTGCAGGGGGTCCAGGAGGGGGGAGGTGAGGGACTTGAGATGGGAGAGAACCAGGCGTTCAAATGACTTCATGACGACAGACGTAAGTGCTACAGGTCTGTAGTCGTTGAGTCCTGTGATCCTGGGCTTCTTCGGGACGGGGACAATGATGGAGGATTTGAAGCAGGACATGGCAGGACTGCAGAGAGGTGTTGAAAATGTCCGTGAACACAGGAGTAAGCTCACTGGCGCAGTGTCTCAGAGTGGCCGGAGACACGTGGTCCGGGCCAGGAGCTTTGCGGGGGTGCAGCCTCAAGAAGAGTTGTTTAATCTCTTTAGAGGCTATTGTTAGGCTGGGGGCAGGGCTGATGGGTGGGTCGTTAGAGTAGTGGGGGGTGGGGGAGGGAGAGGTGTCAGGGGCAGCATCAAAGCGACTGAAAAATAAGTTCAGTTCGTCAGCTAGCTTGTGGTCGTCAGCACAGGGGGGGGCTTTGGGTTTGTAGTTGGTGATCTCCCGTAGGCCCCTCCAGACAGAAGCAGTATCGTTGTTACTAAACTGCTCCTGTAGTCGTTCTCTGTGCCGGGACTTGGCTGCTTTCAGTTCTTTCCTGAACTGATATTTAGCTGCTTTGTAGCCGCTGCGGTCCCCCTCCCTGAAAGCAGACTCCTTTGCTTTCCTGAGCTGCCGGAGTTTAGCAGTGAACTCGGGTCTCTCTTGGGTCTCTCTCGGGTCTCTCTCTCTAGTCTCTCTGCTCTCTCTCTCTGGTCTTTCTCTGGTCTCTCTGCTCTCTCTGGTCTCTCTCGGGTTCCTCTCTGGTCTCTCTCAGGTCTCTCTCAGACACTGTTTATGGTTGTGGCAGTTTCTCTCAAATGCCTGAGGTCCATCCAGTCCCTCTGCAGCTGACAGTGAATGAAGTGAGAGAGGAGAGAGGGGGAGAGAAGAGTATACTTCACCTCCTCACAGTCCAGGTCTTGGGTTTGATTCCACCACCAGGGCCTTTCTGAGTGGAGTTTGCATGTTCTCCCCGTTTCGGCGTAGGATTCCTCTAGGTGCTCTGGTTTCCTCCAGGTGCTCCGGTTTCCCCTACCACTAAAAACGTGTGCAATAGTTGTGGGTGAATGAGAGTGTGTTTGAGAGAGGTGTCTGTCACATGCACTGTGCCAACCAAATAAACTATACACACATCACACATCTGCACCAGGAGACAGTGACCTGCTCTGAACGGAACCACAGCTGCAGAGGTCACAGGCGGGAGACACAACAGACACACAACAACTTGCACATCCATCACTGGGGGAGGGAGAGGGAGGGAGGGAGAGAGGGGGGGGGGGGAGGGAGAGGGAGGGAGAGAGAGGGAGGGAGGGAGAGAGAGGGGGGAGAGAGGGGGGGGGGGAGGGAGAGGGAGGGAGAGAGGGGGGGAGAGGGAGAGGGAGAGGGAGGGAGGGAGGGAGAGGGAGGGAGAGGGGGGGGGGGGGAGGGAGGAGAGGGGGGGGGGGAGGGAGTGAGAGAGGGAGGGAGGGAGAGAGGGAGGGAGAGGGGGGGGGGGGGGAGTGAGAGAGGGAGGGAGGGAGAGAGGGGGGGAGGGAGAGAGGGGGGGGGAGAGGGAGGGAGAGAGAGGGAGAGAGAGAGGGAGAGGGGGAGGAGAGAAGGAGGGAGGGAGAGAGGGGGAGGGAGAGGGGGGAGGGGGAGAGGGGGGGGGGAGAGGGAGGGAGAGAGGAGAGAAGGAGGGAGGGAGAGGAGAGAGGGGGAGGGAGAGGGGGGGAGGGGGGAGGGAGAGAGGGGGGGAGAGAGGGGGGGGAGAGAGGGGGGGGAGAGAGGAGAGAAGGAGAGGGGGGGGGGGGAGAGAGGGGGGGAGAGAGGGGGAGGGAGAAAGTGATGGAGAACAAACGTGTCATTAAGTAGTTACTCTGGGACTAGTGTCGTGGATCTGTGTGTGTTTGTGCGTCCAGAGGCCGGAGTTGTGTGTCTTCATGGTTCTGTGTGTCTTCATGGTCCAGAGTTGTGTGTCTTCATGGTTCTGTGTGTCTTCATGGTCCAGTTGTGTGTCTTCATGGTTCTGTGTGTCTTCATGGTCCAGAGTTGTGTGTCTTCATGGTTCTGTGTGTCTTCATGGTCCAGAGTTGTGTGTCTTCATGGTCCTGTGTGTCGCAGCAGCCTCTGATGGTCCCTGAGTAGCAGGTGGGAGAGGAATGGGCTTTTCCAGGATCCCCCAAAAACATCTGCTCCTCCAGATGTTCAAACCAGAAGCTGAAGTGTGAGGGTCCGGCCCCCAGGGGCCCCCAGAGAGCGGCGGGGGCCACGGGACTAAGGGCTGTTCCGCTCTCTCCAGGAACTAGACACAGGTCAAAACAACACTCACTAAAGCATTTAGAGATATTTATAATCTGCTGCTTCAAGTTCATTTGTAAAGACCTGAGACCAGGACTAATGAGACCAGGACTAATGAGACCAGGACTAATGAGACCAGGACTTCAGGACAGAGACCTGAGACCAGGACTAATGTGAGAGGACTTCAGGACAGAGACCTGAGACCAGGACTAATGTGAGAGGACTTCAGGACAGAGACCTGAGACCAGGACTAATGTGAGAGGACTTCAGGACAGAGACCTGAGACCAGGACTAATGTGAGAGGACTTCAGGACAGAGACCTGAGACCAGGACTAATGTGAGACCAGGACAAATGAGACCCGGACTAATGAGACCAGGACTAGAGACAGGTCCAGAGAGCAGAAGTGAAGTGGGTCGGAGCCAGGTTCTGTCTGCACCTCGCTCTGTGATTTATCCTTTCCGTCTGCTCGGCGCGTGCTTTTCCGCTCAGGGACACGGTCCTCTTCCGATCCCAGAACCGAGCCTCGCCTCTGGGAAAGCCGGAGATTTATGGACAAATCCAGTCCAGACTTGTTTATGGACAGAGCAGCACATGGAGCTGCAGCAGGTCTCTGCCTTTCCCTTCACACACACTGATCTATAAAGATAATTCTCCAGTAAGGGCAGGCTCCTTTTGTGGCAGTGGCACCTGCCACAGCTGATCAGTGGCACCTGCCACAGCTGACCACCTGCCACAGCTGACCAGTGGCACCTGCCACAGCTGACCAGTGGCACCTGCCACAGCTGACCAGTGGCATGTACACAACAAGTGGCGTTTAAAACAAATAGAGTTGAAAGCAGCCTGTACAAAAGACAACAAGCAGCAGTATTAGAGATACTGGTCCAGTGGCTCAGATGGTAAAGCACAGGTCTACGGTTCTGATGGTTGCTAGTTCAAATCCCCAGTGACAACAAATGACATTTGCTGATGTTGGGTCCTTGGGCATAACACTTCATGGAGAATGTCAGAAGTGCCATAAGTTGTTTGAGTAATAATAATATATAAGTTATCGCATAAATTTGTTGAAAGACTTAATTTGATGTAATATATATGGTTTAAATTCTGATGAACTAAATATTCCTGTGGCACACTTGGTTTATAACTGTCTCTCATGCGGAAGGTTC